TAATTCTAATGTTTACTGCGGCTACACATTTTTAAATATTAATAAACACTCAGAAATTTAGCAATTCCGTATCTTTTGCCACTGAAAGCTAACCTTCTCTGTCATGATTGCATTTACTAGACAAGAGATTATAATACGCCCTCTGAGCAGTTGAGTCGCTATCTGAAAGTGACGAGACGTGTCGGGGCTAGGTGGTTAGCGTGCTAACTTCAGTAGAAGAAAAGACAAGAGTTAACATTGGTGTTGCTTCCCACCACTAGACAAAGCTCTTGGGGAGTAAAGAAATTAAGTTTAATGCTGAACTTGCGACGTTTCATCTAGACTGCTAAGTAAACAGCTGTTAACGCTAACGTTGACTATGTAGCAATAGCAAAACTTCCAAAAAGCTGCTTTTAACAGGTTAACAAATTCATAAAGTCCTTAACAGTGACTATGTTTGCATGCACATTACTTTCCCAGTTGTGAAAGTAATATCTTGATATTGAAGACATGGATAAGGTGTTTACATGACACGGATAAGGTTTAGTTTTACATGTGCAACGCAACCTGATAAAACCTGGGGATAAGCAGAATACTAGTGTGCATGTAAACATACTCAGTGTAGTATGTATAATCATAAACCTGTGGTATAATAGAGACAATAGAGACACTGTTTAGTTAACACCGGGCAGTGCTGCATTTCACTCATCTTCACTGTTAAGGGTGATTCTTGATGCTCAAATGCAGAAAGTGGATTTCCCCCGAAGGCAGAAAAAAACAGAGATATACTGCACTGTACACACACACACACAGAGGCAACACCTTTAAATTCCTGATCCTGGATCTGTTTACAAAAAGCTATTTGTTAATGTCTTAGTTGTTAATATTGAGAGACGACAGTGGAGCTGCACTTCTCATGCACTACAGTCGAAGTGTACAAGCTGAAAAGGAACAAAATGTTCCAGTGAAGTGTGAGATGCCTCTAACATTGTGCATACCAGGGGAGGTTGATTAAAAGTCTGCCTCAAATGAGGAAAAAAAAAAAAAAAAAAAAAAAAAATCACATTGTTCTTTTCTCTCAGGCGTTATAATTATGTGTACTGTTGTAAGGTAACAGTTGAAAATAATCATCTCTAAATCTGTCCCCGTTGCCGCTGCTTCTTGATACATCTCATATAACCCTTTAGCCTTATCAATATTTCCACAGCCAGTTAGTTTTCTTCTCTCCCGCCACCTCACATTTAACAGCCACACTCCATTAGCAAATGTACATATTGCCACAGGCTGACATTCTTTCACAAAGCAGAAAAGCCATTTAATTTCTTCCTTTCTCCTGCAGGCTCGGACACCTAGTGCTCTTTAAACAAATTAAATAAGACGGTATTATTTCTGAAATAACAGGAGCTTCAACCGGATGTGTTTCTGGGCAACCTGTGGAGCCTCTTGCTCAAAAAGAGAAAGGAGGTAGAGAGAGCTATCCAGTCAGGCTAAAAACTGCTCTCTCCTCCTGGCCTGTCTTCAGACTGTTTTTTTTTTTTGTTTTGTTTTTTTTAATTTCCACACTGCCTAACGAGCGGAGATAGTTATAGATGATTTTTGTGATGTGGCGGCCATTGGGAGAGCGTTACCAAGCTTTGACCGCAGCGGGAAAACCTGTTTCCTGTCTTTGTCAGGTAAAAGAAGAGCGTAGCTCAAGCACGCCGGCTGGAGGGGAGAGAAAAATAAAACTCAAATAAGTTGGTGCACACTGGTGAGCAGGAGAAGGGCACAAGGGACACCACTGGAGTGAAGTTTTATTAGGTGCCTCTGCCAAGTTTATGGAATACAGCACGGGCTGTGAGTCTCAATGTGTGTGTATGTGTGTGCAGGACGGAGAATAGATATTTCGAGCCTGATCCCTCCTATCTATTTCTCCACTGGATCATACCACAGACAGGACAGAGAAAGCAGTCAAGTGTTATGACACTTCAGAAGATATGAGAGCTTTTGACACCATGCCCACTTTTCGCTTTAATCCAAACCTTGGATTTAACCCTGGGATAATTCACGCTGCACAAGGCTCTAAGATCTAGATATCTATTGAAATCCTCATGAGGTGAGACTGAGATTACTTCAGATATGGATCTCAAGTTTGCACAGTCAAAATACCTCCTGCATATTTATTTAAAGTCGCCTAGAAAGAAATGTCCTCAATGAAGATGAATTGTATTCTGTTCTAGTACATTTAAGCTCATGGTGACAGTGCTGGATAACAAAGCAACAGCTTGGTTTTCAACAAAACAGAAAGTTGCAAAACAAATATTGAGACCGTCTCCTGAACTGAGGAAATACAATTGTTCTTTAGGAGGTTCAGAGTTTAAAGAAGGTCAGAGAATGATACTGAAGCTGTGTATTTAGCAGTATTTGGTGTGTAGAACATACTGAGCACACACAGGGTTTCCGCAGGGTTTACCAAGCTAAATCTAAGACTTTTTAAAACCTTTTTAATACCTCACAGAATGCCATTTAATACCCGTCTCACAGTCCTACAAAAGTATGCAAGTAAGAAAACCATCAGGGACATTATTATGTCACGTTTTTCAGAACTTCATAGAAGTATATAACAAGAATTTCTCATGATATAATTTTTCTAGTTTCTGTGCTGCACACGATTGGAACATTTAACAACACACATTAAAGCTAAATACAGTCAATTAAAAACTATGATCACAAACTACAACGCTCTTGAACGTAACTGTTTTAACTCTGGTGTTTGTTTTCTCATTATTTCTGTGTGTATTTATTCTGTTTAAGTCTCAACAACATTGAATGATTCTTCAAGAATTAAATAAAGGTTGAATGAATGAATGAATGCATGAATGAATGGAATCATTTTGACCTGAACCCGGCTAAGCATCATAAAATGGACAGATGGATTAACCAACTAAAACTGATTACATAATTTAGCCATGATGACAATGAGTAGGCTAGCTTCTGGACCTAAGCTGTATTCATAGCGTTTGCTGCAGCTCTGAATGTTGCTGACTGAATCCCCACTGTAAAACTATCCCACTTATTTTACAGGTGTATAACTTCTCCCAACAGCCTCTAATCAGAAACATAAACATTTTATAACTAAAATTACTGCCTATGGCAAGCATTTTTTTCCCCCAATACCCTCCGATGCCTTTTCAGAGGAAACTAAATTCAAAGCCTTTTCAGACTTTTCAAGACCTGCAGACACACTGATACAGTTGAACATCAGACATGTGGATGACTGCAGGAGATGTTTCTGTGAACCTCTCCAAAGAATTTAAGTAGACCACATATGATTTATCTATAACTGTGTAGCAGTGTGTGTGTGTAAGTAGCTGTTCTGTGCTGTCACACGCATGACGTGAGCCATTGTGTGACGCCTGAGTTTAAATTTGACCGGCACAGAATGGGATATCTGATCAATCACACTGAAAACTGAAAACCGACCCTTTCCGATCGCCAGCCTGCCCATTGGTGTAAATATAGAGCTAGAGCGAGGGGGGGGTTGTCTTAGCTTAGCATAAAGATTGGAAGCAGGGGGACACAGCTAGCTTGGATCTCTCCAAAGTTACAAAATCTGACCACCAGCACACTAAAGATCTAAAGTTGTCTTTTCCAAACATTTTGATGTATTCCTTTAGGCTAAGATTTAAGTAAAGGCAGAGGTAGAACCTATAGAGAAGGGATTGCTCTTATATGTCATATATTACAGTATCCTACAACCCTGTCATTTCGCTTTTTTCTTTCCTCCTTTCACTTCTGAGTCTGGTTTTGTTCCTTGATGCTTTCAGTTTTTTTGTGGTTTTGCTTCCTTCTTTACCCTCCACACAATCCCCATCTCTGCTGCCTCAATGTTTCTTTTCTCTGCAGGGAAGCTCAGGCAGTCCAGCTGTAATTTATACAGGCCACAGGCCAGCTGTGCTTTGCTTCCCCAAAGTTCGCTGCAATGTTCTCTTTTTACATATATACATAATGCATATAAACATGTATGAATGAATATATACACACGCACAATAGCCACCCAGACATCCATGCAAACATTATTTAGATACTTGCAAAAAGACAAACACGCACAATCAAACAAAACAAACATGAACAAGCCATTACTCAGGTGTTATCGATGCTACATTAGCTAAAAATACACACACACACACACACACACACACACACACACACACACACACACACACACACACACACACACACACACATACAGTCAGCTAAAGCAGTAAGGCGCCCCTCCCCTCCCCTCCCCTGAACTTGGCAGCCTACACTGCAGCCAGTGCTTTGCAACTTCATACAGTGTTATGAGCCTTCACTTCAGTGGAGTACCAAACAAAGCAGCCATTAACGGTTAAAGCGCCCAGTAGGTAACCTCCCACAACCAAAAAACACAAACAGGCACGCAGACACACACACACACACACACACCTTTAATGACATCTTTTCTGCGGCACATTAGCTATTGTGCAGTAATTAATGAGAGAGTCATGGCGTTCAAAAAGCCAGTCTTCTCTCTGCAGACTAGGAGCTGTACACCACAACAATGGCTTAATGAGTAAACACACCGTGCGTCTCATGAATAAATTATTTGTGCCTCGCAATTAATTTTCCCTATTGAAGTTTGAAAAAAAGCAGGACTATTACCAGTCTTCATAAATCAAAAAGGGGAGGGGGTACGGCTAGAGAACATGACAGCAACTTTGTGTGTTTGTGTGTGCGTGTGAGTGCCTAAGATCATCTGTAATGTGTTTATTATTTGTACGATTTTATCTGATGCGTGCAAGTGTGCGTGTGTGTACACGGCTGTGTGTGCATTTGATTCCCTCGCGGGTTCATGTATGATGTTACATAGGTTTTTCTTTTGGAGTGCATTTGTATGCAAGTGTTTTTGTGAGCGTTTTTTACATTTTACACAAATTATCGATCGTTTCACTGTGTTGGTGTTTGAATGTGCAGTGTAAATTTGCATGTGCGCTGTAAGAGTGTGTGCACAAAGAACTTACTGAAAGGAGTTTCCACGTAATCGGTCGGACCTGTCGCGGGATTCCGGACCAGCTGAGTTTCCGTAGCTCCTCTGTAAAACAACAACAAATATACCAGAAGGTAAATTTTACGTTCACCACTGACTTTTCACATTAAAAAGTAGATTCCCTTCTAGAACATGCTCAATATCATTGGCTAATATCAGTCTATATATATATTGTTTACCTGTATCATCATATTTTGGCTAATAAGTGACAACACATTTCAGTAGAGAGGCCAAAGATGTGTTGTCTTCATACAGTGCAATACAAATCTCAGGGACCACTTTTTGGACTCCATTGAATATTTTATCTACCAGGGAGCAAGGAAAATGCCCCACTTATTACATATTAGAGCATACTGCAATGGTTAGTCATCTAACCGATTAGTCACACAGAAAGTATTAAACTATTTTTCAAGCAAAGACTCACAAGGTAAAACTTCTAAAATGTGATGATTTGCTCCTTTTCTTTGTCATTTCCAATTATACACTGAATGCCTTGAAAACCTTGCTTTTCAATTTTATCTGACATTTTATAGACAAAATATCCAATCGAGAAAATCAGACCGGTTAATCGATAATGAAAATAGTTGTTAGTAGCACCCTTAGTGCATATCTTTATCAAACCTAAAACCTAATGTGCAATATGTATGTAATGTGATTATTTTTAAAAATAGCTAAAGGATTGGGTTAGAATATTTTCAACAGTTCTTCTTTTGATTATGCTGACTGCAGATAGACACAGCTACAGTCACAGCAACATTAAGATGGGAGTGAGAAGAGAAGAAAAATAATAAATAATGTTTGAAGCAAGAATCATGTTTATGTTTATTTATGTATTAATTCAAAGATTTGCACTAAGCAGTGAATAACTGGCATACACTGTTATCTTGATCATTACTGAAGATCTTGAAACAGCATTAAAACAAACACCGACTAAAAAAAAAAAAAAAGCTGAAAACATTTTTGTTCACAGGAAAAGGCATTTGATTGAAAACATTTTCCAAGGACACTAAATTATCCCATTAAAAACGATTTCAGACCATTATTAGATTAAGTAAGTTGTTCCTGAAGAGAATCAATCATTCAATCTACCGACCAGTCAAACAATCATGTTCTCACAGTCTAAACTTCCCTTCCTGTCTGTCCTTCCCTTGACTTAAATTATCTGATGGGACAGAAGTGGATTATTAACTACATTCTCCCCAGGCCGGGTGAGAGAGCCGGTGGGCTATAATGTAAAAGAAATCTGATGGAGAGGTGCAAATTGAACTTTTAAATTGTCAGAGAACAGTTCCCTTTGGGTCCATGAAGACCCAGAAAATATGGCTTAATGCTAGGTGCTACAGATTACTTCCAAACCATACCTCTCTAACACACACACACGCACACACACACACACTAACAGTAGGAGAGGATGAGTGGGTGTAACGATCAACAGTGACTCAAGAGAAAATGCTTTGTCTTGTTGTATTTAGCAACCTGTGTCTTCTTTCATCCCATTTCCAGTGAATCGAACATAACAACCGGACTACGAGAAAGGTGTAGGATCTAATTTCCCTGTAGCAGAGGGAGAGATCATGCTCATAAATAAAACTAAAGCAATTGTTTGTGTCACTGCTTCTGTAACAGTTCTGCTAAGGGCCTTACACTCTTGTTGTCTCTACCCAGTGACATGGACCTTCTGTTGGCTTATGACGTAATAAGTCACACATTTGAGATCATGACATGGCTCCTGAGTGACCTGTTAAAATATTTGAGATTGAGACTTTTTTTTTTTTTTTTTTTAGGAAGCAGGAGGTCCCTGGTTGAGTTCTGACTAACATCACCTCATCCTCTTTTCACAGATAGGTCTCCCTCTTCACGGGCCCTGCAACTCTACAAACCCCCCCATTAAGTATCCAATGAGACCAGCTGTCACGACCAAACTGAGACAAACAACGAGGATTACTAGCTTCACCAACCGGTCAAGTTACAGTTTAAATCCATGTCTGCCAAGACTCGTATAATATATGTAGTGAAGACTTTGAAGGAATATGAGAAAAGGTATTACGTGTTTTTCAAGAACATAATGATGTATTGGATATAAAATGTCATCACATCACTTCACCTTTTTTTCCTGTTGGACATTTGCGTTAAATTGTTTCATAATTAGGGTAGGAATTCTTGAGTTACGGCCAAAAAGGTTTTTCCGTGAGGTTACAGTGACCGCCAAATTCTAACCAGTTCATTCTTGAGTCCAAGTGAACATTTGTGCCAAATTTGAAAGGATTCCCTCAAGGCATTCCTGAGATACAGTATCATGCTCACCAGAATGGGATGGACAAAAACATAATGCCTCTGGCCACAGCTGTCGCCAGCACTGAGGCATAAAAACGCAATACAAATCTCTTTACCTGTAATTGCTCTGCCACTGTTTGACCTGCATTCCAAGAGTGAAGGGAGGAGGGGAAATTGATTTCTGTGCGAATTAAATGGCACTGTCTTAACATACTTTTCAGAGTTAAAAAAAAAAAAACAAACAAATGTACCTAATGAATAAGCCAAATTCTTCCTACACTCTCATTCAAGGCACTGGCTGGAAATTGATAAGCCCTTCGCACAGAGTGAACAGTATTGATTAGTGCTGCCAAATGACTCTGCCTTGCCTGTTCTTCAAGGCAAATGCAATGGAGAGTCAGTGACAGATAGCAGAATAGGAAATAGCAATCACCTAAACAGCAATGGGCTAAGTCCATTGGCTAAATTGAGTGAAACGCATTAGAGCTTGTTCAGCTGATGGGAGTAGCCATTTATTCACTATAGTTCCTGTGCATCTTCCACTTAAAAGTTCTCCCGTACCTTGTCCCCTGTGACTTTAATTATATAGAAATTCAATACAGTGATCTAGTGCGCAGCATGGCTCTGCTGGTTTGGAGGGTGTCAGAGACCCACAGTGTGGGAAGGTTTCGATTACCCCAAGGCTTACTGTGCAGCAGCAAGTTGCATTTAAAAACAAAGATTTAAAAAAAAAAAAAAAAAAAAAAAAACTCTCTGAGACATGACACAGACCATAGAGGTTGCAACGTGAAGGTGCAGTAGTTTTTCCATAGATTCTGTCTGTGTCTTTGCTCCTTCCCTTCCCTCTCCTACAGACTGCAAGTGGTTGGGAGTGTATGGAAATCTGTTTGAAAATGAGAGGGGGGGCTGTAGAGTTAGAAAGAAGTGATCTTACCAGATCCCTGTAGTCCACTCATCTCTGCTCGAGGCTAGCAGCTCGAGGCTACATTAGGGCATGACTGAACTGTCAGTGGTCGAGTTCCATTGTGGGTAATGTAGGTGCCAGATTTTGACAAGGACAAAGAGTGTATGAAATAAAAAAGACAAAATGTCTGGTTCTGTTGCATCAATTTTGATCCTTTTTTTTTTTTTTTTTTTTTTTTTTTTTTAAACCTTACCATCTTGAGTCTGAGAATGTTAAAGAATCCTCTTACAGAATCATTTTATTTACTGCTAGTTTTCTGTTTTATCAGGAAAAACTTGTTATCATGCAAGCCCTCATGTAAGTGATATATTATAATACAATATTGATGCCACAGCAGGCAAAACTGTTTAGCATTGTGGTCCTGTCTCTGCGCTAGAATCGCTGCCAGGCCCAGTCCCAGCGTGGTTCGTTAGGGTACATCCATTTTCGCAGGTTCATGAAAGACTGAATTATGGGTTGTGGCTATTGATTGCCACTCCTGCATTTCAAGGGAACTGTGCATAATTTTTTTCAAATTTTGCATTAACTTTCACAGCTCCCCGTCCTGCCGGCTGGATAAAACTCGACATCTTTGAATCTCTGCAGCCTGTACCTGAATGTGTATGTGTGTGTGTGTGTCTGAATACACCATTAGGCCGCTCTCAGTGACATCTACCTATTACAGATGTAGAGTGGGACAGCTGCAGTGAAGTTATGGAGGATTTATTTACAACAAAGTCCAAGTCTTTAAGGGTGAAATCATTAGCCTATGTGCACCTCTACATTCATTACGCTCCTAAGAGCTAGTCAAGGGTGTCTCTCCTCTTGCCTTGCACCTTTTGAACCTTCATTTGCACTGTCAGACAAAGAAATGAGTCCATGAATCTTGTGGACTCGGGCTTAATTAAACTATGTTATATTTCCCCCACCTGGCATTAATCTCACCGTAGGGGGTATAGAGAGGAGGGGTGAAGGGGCGTGGGGCACAAGTTGGCTAATGGTCTTTACATCGTGGTGCTGCAGTGATCTCCAGAAGGCCCCCCGTCCCCCTGTGGTCAAACGTTTTGCAGGAATGGTTTGTGGGAAAAAGAATGAATATGTGCATTGAAGAGGCTTGTGTGTGTGTGTGTGTGTGTGTGTGTGTGTGTGTGTGTGTGTGTGTGTGTGTGTGTGTGTGTGTGTGTGTGTGTGTGTGTGTGTGTATGTGTGTGTGTGTGTGTGTGTGTGTGTGTGTGTGTGTGTGTGTGTGTGTGTGTGTGTGTGTGTGTGTGTGTGTGTGTGTGTGTGTGTGTGTGGGGTGTGTATAAATGTGTGGAAAGGGCAAGGAGCAAATATTTACTTGGCACTATGTGGCCAACAGAACAAGCTGATGTGTCCGTTCAACCCATACATCATATACAGAAAATGGCAGACACAGCCTCTACTCCTGCAAATCGCTGCGATCCAAACACTCTCCGGCAGAGAGCCGGACCGCTGCAGAATCCAAATCAGCGTGAGCCTGGATGACTTATAGACCCACAGCTTGACTGTCAGAGTACTGATGCACTGCACTGGTACAGTACATGAAAGGACAATGGTAAATTCGACTAGGATGAATCTTTCATCATGTTCTTCCAGTTTCACACATTTTAATTAGTCCTGGGTTAAAATGCTGTTTTGAGAAGAGATCTGCTTGAGGAAATATATAATCTATAATCCATCTGTGAAATGGATTCTATGGTGATGCTTTATTCTAATGCAAATACACTTTCATGGGAAATGTATCTATTCCCCTATTTCCTAAATGCTTAGTATACAGCCGCACTCATCTCAGCTCCAATTCCTGAGA